AGTAGGACAAGCTTGAGTGAAGTATGCTACAAGTTATGGAGTGATTGGGATAGATTTGACTCAAAACTAATTAAGCAAATAAATATAATTCTAAAGTGAGTGAGCGAATAAACCTAATTGTAAAGTCAGTAAAGTGGGTAAGTAAAAACCTATTTAGAAGTAGGAATTCTTAGGTGAATTTTGTCACCTATCCTTATTAGATTATAACTTAGCTAGTTTAGTCCCATCTCTCACTACAATAGAATTATGCATATTTGACCATTATTTTCCTATATATTTTACGGTTATAAACCGTCAAATAAGACCCTGTCAATTATGCAGCTCCATATACTTGATGGTTATTTTAACTATCAAATATGTGATATTATAATTGACGGTTCTAAATAACCGTTAAGTGTAAGGTACAAGAATTTGCTTTGACTGAAAAAAAGATCATGTTTGACGGTTAGATGTGAGAATTGTCAAATATTTATATATATATATATATATATGAAGGTTATATTAGACAACCATCAAATATATGAACATATTTGATGGTTATCAAAATAACCGTCAAATATGTTGTAGAATTTTTTTTATATGGAAGTTGCATTTAAGTAGCCCCCCTGCAATAGAATTGACATTTCATAATCCAGACAATCCAGCAAATATATATTATCATTAGCAATATTCTTTCAAAATTAAAAGAACATGTACATATATATATATGCACATACATAGTACACATTAATGATAAACAAAAAAGTTGCAAATCTTAATCCTAAATCATAATTCTATCCTAAAAAATGAAACAATAATTCTATCCCAAGCCACATTCTTTTTGCCTTCAAGCTAGACTAAATGTGCACTCACTAAATGCATGAATTTTGCATGATCCATAGTTGAAATATATGTTGGCACTACTCTTCCACGACTTCAATGATGTGAGCATCCCTAAATTCTTGACAATAAGCATCATCATAATACTGCAATTTAAATTATAATCATATCAAAGTTAATTAGCTAACTAATGAAATTTTGCCATATATAAAGTGTATATTTAAATTAAATATGAACCTTGGTAGGGATTAAAGTCTTGGCGTGAGTGATAATGTCCCTAATGGATCTCATCACACAATATCTATAGTCTACTGAATCTGGTATTTGACGGGCACTTTAAAAACAAAACAAACAAAATATATTAAATTATTGAATAATTGTTAATAAATACTTGAACAATTAATGTTTAAACACGTACCCTTATTACTGTCCATATGAACAATTGGTTAAATAGTTTGACCCTAGGGACAATTAAAGATTCATCCGTGTAGTACAAAAACACAGCCCTAAAAACACAGAAGTTGGCAAGTTTGAAATATCAAAAAACACATGAACTTAATTAATGCGCTTACTTGTTGATTAATTCCATCATATCTTTGTGATCATCTGGTTGTCTGCCAGTAGAACACAATAGATAACTAATTTCTCATATTTTTCTTCAGTCGGATTGAAGGCAATCAGCATGTAACATCCTAAAAATTTTAAGACTCGAATTTATTTTAAAAAAATAAAATAAAACATCTATAATTAAATTAAAATTAACAATAATTTGATAGAGGTCCAGAGTTTGAATTTTTCTCAGTAAAAGTTTGGTTTTATTTGATTTTTACCTATGGGAAAAATTACTAAAGTTGACCTGGGCTTTTGTGCTATAATAAAAAATGTTAGGCCTTTTCTTATAATTTTTCCTAAAGTCTTATATAAGCTTTTTTTAAAAGGAAACTGAACGCAGGAAACACAAAAAAAAAGAACAAAAAGCACGAGAGAGTGAGAGGAAGAAGGGAGGAGAAAGAGAGGGAGTTAGGCTTGGATCTAGGAGGCTTTACGATCGTTGCGAGCTCGGCTACACAATAGGTGAACTCTCTACTTCAATCCTTTTTCCTTTCTCTTGATTTTCTTCAATTTTTGAAAGAGGGAATTTTTAAATTTTGATCCCAAAGACTTTATTCTTGTAAGCTTTTGTTTCTTTGGATCCTAAGGAGGATGTTTTGAGTTTTTATAGTGTTCTGATGTTTTGAGTGGATAATTGGATGAAAAGAGGTGTTTTAGGCACAAATCAAACCCTAAGAGGTTGGGTTTTGCTCTTTAATGATTTAAGTCTATTGATTTAGTTATAATTTTGCCATTTGAGCCCAATAAGATTTAAATTAAGGTTTGGTTTTCATTATAAGGGCTAATGATAAAAGTTGGTGACACTAAGTGAAGGTTTTTAATTTATTAAAAATTATATAAATTAGAAATTAGCCTAGTGATGGCTAATAAATGGTTTTGGTGGTTAAGTGATATTATGTGAATGGTTGGTTTAATATATGGACTATTAGGCTAGATTATGACTCATTGACTCAAGTTATATGGTATGAGTTATAGTCTTCATTAATGCTATTTGTCATGATAAATGATGTAGATCACTTATATGTTGTAGGGATTGTTGGTGGAATTTGTTTGGAAGTTAAGGAACAAGCCGAGTCCTATTTTGTACAAGAGGAACCCTTTTGGTACCAAAGGGTTGAGGTAACAGGAGAATTTATATTTCTTATTACTTTGTTTTAGCTATTTTTGAATAAATATTACTAGCTATCATGCATTATATGTTTTAAAAGATTAAATGTGCTTTATAAGGGGCTACGGTATACTGCTTTCATTATAGTACAAATATATTTTCTAATTGTTTATCAACAATGTTTTTATGGAAACGAGATTTGTTTACATGTATTTTAATCATAAGGAATAGAAGTTGTACTTAAGGAAGTGTAACTAAGTAAGGTATCTTAGATAGGCTAAGGAACCGTTTAAGGGAGATTTATAAATGTTATACTACCTTAGAGTGTCGAAGTGGTCAATAATCAGGAAAGGTAGGCACGAATAAAAGGCATGATCTCGGTGGGAGTTCACCAATGAGAAGGTGTGGACTTTTGATATTCTATAGCACATTGCCAATACTCAGTGTTACCTTACGTATTGTGGGCTCAATGCACTAAAGTGGTTAGTGTATTGAGTGTTCGACAGCTCTCAATGGGGGAGGGAATCTGACATATGAAGTGTGAGGTTGAGTACCTAGGCCAAGGTAGCCCTCACATGGAGAGTAAGTCGGGCTAGCTCTGGGAGGGAGTCAACTTCGATTGCTCAGGATTCACGTCGAAGGGACATAGGTGATTCGATGGATTAAATCATGCCTTAGATTATATTTTGTGCCTGTAGAGGTATAAATATGTATAAGGTTTACCTATAAATTAAAGAGTGCAGGGGGCATTCTATTAGTCATGAAAGGCCATACTAGCCTACATCATGCATTCATGCATTTTAAATGGCTAAATTATATACTATGTTGAATTTATTATTTGTTTGTTCAATTATGGCTTACTTTGTAATAATCAATGTAGATTTCTCTATTACTGAGACTATGGTTATCTCACCCCTTTCTTTTTAATATTCTAGGTCTAGGCGAAGGAACCAGTAGAGGACGGGGAAAGGAGCAGAGCTAGGGGTTGTTTATGAATTGTAAAGAACTGCAACCCCTTTCTTTTGAGTAAATCTATTATAATGTATTTAAGATTAGAGTGCCAGTAGGATATGATTATGTATATGTGTGTGAGTATGTGTGGATTGTATGGCTTGTGTATGAATTTTTGTTTGCTTGTAGACTTGTGGCTAGGAAAATTGGCTATAGTATGTGGTTTTGATGGATTTATTTAGTAGACCAAGTTTTCACTATAAGAAAATATTTATTTTGGTATATATGTGATTCCACAAGCAAATGCAAAATGGTTGCATTGCAAAGGTGTGTTATGGGAAAACATATACCTTGGAGATCTCTGAGCCAAGTGAAAATATTTAGCGTGTGTATTCATATGTGTATATGATATTTGGAATAGTTTTTGGCCATCTTGTGTAATTTGTGCATTTTAGGGGTTTAGGGTCCATTTTGGGAAATGGCACCCGAGTGGTCAAATTTTGGTATAAAGGGTTTTTCTACCATTTAAATGTTCTATCAGTGTTTTTAGTCCTATTTAACGTGTTCAAAGTGTTCCCACAAGTTTGTGACCATTATGATGAGATTTGGACAATTTTGAAAATGGTTTTTACCAAAAAACTGCACTTTTGCATCTGGGATGTCCAAATCTTAATCCAACCGTTTGATTTCTCTAAAATTTGGGTCACAAGTAAAACCTTTTATAAGCTTCATGTAGGCTTTAGAATCATGTTGATCGGATACTGGACGGAGAAATGGCGCACTCTAAAATTTAGTCTGAGGGAGCTGTCATGACAGCAAAAGTGCTGTCATGACAGCAATATTTGATAATGTTGCAACATGCACGAAATTCAATCTGTCTATTAAATCTTTCCAAAATTTGGTATGCTAATATTACTATTTAAAATTGACATGTGGGCCTTGGAATTGCTTCAATTGGAGGTCGGATGATGAAATAGTGCACCTCAAAAGTTAGTCCGGAGGTGCTGTCATGACAGCTTTTTAGCTGTTATGACAACAAAAATAGCCAATCTTTTAACATGTTTAATTTTTAATCTGATCGTTGGATCTTTTTAAAATTTGGTACACTTATAGTACCTTTTGAATGTGACGTGTGAGCTTTAAAATTACTTTGATCAGAGGTCAAATGACGGAAAGACACCTCCCAGAAGTTGGCCCAGGAGGGCTGTCATGACAGCAATTTAATGCTGTCATGACAGCATCTTTTTATTCCACTTTCGTCTAGCTTGCTTCCGTGTGCTATAGGTAGAACCTATAAATTTTTTTTAAGATTTTAAATGATTTAATTCTTAAGTTGGTTAGAGATCAGCTCCTTAACCACACTTAGTTTATTTGAATTATGTGATTTTTGGATAACACTCAGGCAAGTATCACACATCATCCAATGATCCCTAAAATAATTAACGATTGTAAAGAATATATAATAAAATTTAGAAAACACATTAAATATAATAAATAACTAACCCTTGCACATAAGGTATCAAGAATAACCTTCCCCCTTTTTTAGTAGTCCTGGCTTTGAATGAATTGCACAGCTGCTTTGCTTGATCTTCATGATCAGAGTCTCGAATGTCATAGAAAGTAGCAATGTCACAAGGACAAATGAAGACAAACATCCTTGTAAGGTTACAGGGCACGATGAGTATATGATAAAGAAACCTAAAATTAATAAATCAAACAGATTAGTATATATTTATAAAAATAATGACCACTCGTGTGCAAAAGAAGTACCTCAAATAAAAATCCATGACAATTGTGCTAATCATGCCATGGTGGAGTACTTCATCTACGACTTCAAGCGTTATGCGATTGGTATGATCTCTGTCATATATGCCATGCTCGAATGGGTTGTCTACATCAATAAAATCATGAATACTCCTTTTCATGTCTGCATATGCCCCTCGTGAAGTCAGGAATTTATGTGACAATTAAGGCTCCATCTTTTGAAGTAGGGGAAGTGCGATAATCTTTGACTCATGGCTAGTTGATTGTTTGCTGGGGAAGTCTTTTTCTTTGGACTATATACCAGAGATAGTTAGAGATCAATTATATAGATACCTTATCTTTGTTTGAGATTAGCATTATAAGTTATATATATGTATATGTACCTTATCTTTGTTAGATATCGGCCTTATAAGGGCGGTAGGCGATGCAACAAAGGTGCCCAATGCGTCTCCTACTGTCATCACATCCTCCGTGGAATGGGTAGCTGATAGTTTTCATCCAAAGAAACTTTTAGACAAACTCATACGTGGCTTAGAGGAATTGGCACATTATGTATAGTGCCCCCAAGGACATTATACATTATACCAATTGCAACCACACGATGATCTGGACTGTTTGCCAAAAACTCATATTCGGCTTCACCCTAAAGCAATGGAAACATTTATAAGTTATTAATACAAAAATGAATATAATGAAAAAAATATTAATATTGCCTTAGGAAGGTTTGGATGAGAAGGATGAGCTATGGTGCAACTGTCTCTCTTATTATTGGGACTAATTTCCACAGGAGTGGATGTCTTTCCTTGGGATGTGAGCAATACATCAACCAACATATGCAGCCTATCAACCTTATCTTTTAGTGCATTAAACTCAACTGAAGAAGGCGTTGCACCTTTTGATGGCTTTGTAGTCCCAAATACTTGCTTCTTGGTGACGCCAAAACCAACACCCCTAACACGTCTGGGGTGGTCAGGTTTACCCAATGCCTGACCCAAGATATCTTCATCCTCCGAACGCTCACCCTTTGAGACTTCATTTGAGATAACAGCCTATGTGACACAAATTGAAAAACTTAAATTATTTGTTTGAATGAAAAAATTAAATTTATTATGTCAAATTAATAATATTGATGCTTACACATTTATTAGCTATCTCCTGAACATGCTTATCTGTAATGTTACCTTCTTTATTGGTTCGGCCTTCTATGAAAAGAACATGGCGGGATATGCTACTAACTCCTGTGCCTTCTTGCTCAATCTGTGCATGTCAATAGTAAAAGAATTAGCAATTAGCAAATATAAAAAATAAATGTGGAGTAATTTTAAAATTAATAAATACCAACTTTTCCTGTATGCCTGAATACCCCACACACCCTTTCTTAAAAGGATATGAATTTTTCTTAACAAACTCTTGATTTTGTTGGCTCAATTGCTGTGAAAAAATTAAAATCAATTAAACTTATAATATAGCATAAGATTATTAGAAAATTAAAATCAATTGGTAAAGTAAAATCACCTAAAATTCTATTTGAAAATGAGATGCAACAAATTCATCCCATTATTGTTAGGTTACCAAAGGTCTAATTAAAGTGGGGACCTTGAAACTAATGTTTCCACCCACTCTTTTAATATATTTTGATCCCACAAAATATCGAAAAGAATGCATTACTCTCCCAGCTATTTGGCTTTAATCACTTAGTTATATTAATTAGGATTTAGCTAATACATTAACCAACCTTAATTCAAAATTATGAACCAAGGTAACCCAAGGCCTAGCTAGCAAGAAGCCCAACCAAAGTGTTACAAGTATGAGTCAATTAGGTCAAGCACATACTAATAGGATTAACATACTTATGATGCATGAAAATATTCACATGCATTAAAGTTGGCAAGATTATGCCAAGAAGACATGTTATACTCATTAAGCTACACTAAGATTATGGCTAAGCATGACAAAATAATGTGCTTGAGAAAACAAAACTCAAGTTGCAAAAAGTATTTCTCAATCACATAAACCATTACTTGAAATCTCAAGATCAAAGTGTCATACAAATTTATAATTCTAGAGAGAGAAAAGTATAGAAGAAATTCAAATCTAGCTAGAAAGAAATATAAACTCAAGGCTTCTTCCTCTACATAGTAGCTCCTTCAAGAATTTAGCCTTGTATTTCAAGTTGACACCAATGTGAATCTCTATGATCATGGCCATTCTTCCCTTAGAAATCCCCCAAGCTTAGTAATGCTTGATCCTAGTGAAAGCTCTAGGTTATGGAGAGGAAGATGAGCAGAAGTGATTGATATGATTTTTGTGAAATTTGGATGATTAGATTGAAAGATATAAAAGAGAGAGAAGTGAGAGAATTTAGAGGAACTTAGAACTTGAAAACTAAGAAAATGGAGTTAATGATATGAAAATTAATCAAAGACCTAGACAAAATGTGTTTAGCCAAAATTCCTAGATGATGACCTGATTAGCAAGTTGCTACGAAATCAATTACAAGTGATTAGGCAAAGTAAGGTTAAGGGGTAGTCTAGGTTGCACATCAATTAGGGTGATAATTCCAATATTGCTCTTGCTAATTCTCTTAATCTCATATGTGCATGAACATATTAAGCTCTTGTGGTCTCTTAACTAGGCTTGGAAATCAAGCCTAAACACAAGCCTTCTAGCCAAATTGGAACTATCTTGAATAAGACAAGTCATCATGATATCATCTTTAATCTCTTGTGTGCAAGTGCATAGTAAACCTCATGTGCTCCTCATTTAACCATGAAATTCACACCCCTTGAAGCCATCTCAGATTTGATTCATGTGTCTTCAAGATCCTTATGTGTGAAGCCAAGTCTTGAACTATAAGTCTCTTCTATGCAAGGTCATGAAATTTGACTAAGGTATTTGCAAATGTTGTTAAAACTGGACCGGATCGAACGGTCCAACCGATCTGACCGCCACCTACTGAGTAAAACGGTTTGGGTCAACCAATTAAACTAATCTAACATTTAACCTGAGTTGACTTGGATTGAATTGGCCAGTTTTGAGAGAACTGCCTTTGACCCAGAAACCGCAGTTGGGTCAACCCGGTTCAAAGCAAAAAAATTTAAAAAAAAGAGAAAATTAGGCTAAGTTGTTTAGATTCACAATTTCTCTTCTCTAATCACTAATTCTCTCTTTTCTTCACTTTTCTAATCTCTAATCTCTCCTTCATGGCCTAAGCTCAATCTCTAACTTCTCTTCCAACCTTTGGCTCCAACTCTAGAAATCCAACCTTTGACATCGAGACCAGAAGCTTGTGAGTTATGACATGATGGTGTGCCTCAAACTCTAGTATTTTCCTTTAAGATCACAAGCTTATACTGACATGCCTCTACCTCTAGTTCTAACGGTCTAAACATCTAGCTTTTAGAGTCAAGATCCCAAGCACAATTGACAAATTAATGTTTTATTTATATAGTTGTGCATATAAATATTAATTTTTATTTAATTTTTATGTTACCGGTTCAACTGTCGGTGTAATTGGTTAGACCATAAAAACAGCAACCTGTTGCTCTTTCTGGTTCGATGTCCGGTCTGGGTTTCAAAACATTGGTATTTGCAAATGTGATAAAATATGAAAATATTCAAATCCTAATATCTTTTTGCATGTGTCTTCAAAATCCATTCAAATATTCACAAACACGCATGAGAAATTTAAAGTGGCCATGCATGCATATTAACAAGTCAACCCCAAATGTTTGACTTTTAACCTTGGGTCCAATGCTACTTTGAAGATCAAATATTTTGACCAACTACCAATGCACACATAAAATTTAAGATTCGCTCTTAAATTCCCAACAAAGTGCAAAATGATCAAAATACCCCTAATATATATAAATTTTCTCCAGGACATAAAACTCTAATTTAACACCAAAAATATACATTCTAGGGTTTCTTACTATGAAATGTGTCCTAAATGCCTAAGAAAAAATTGTAACAAATATGACTTATCACTAGCCTCTCTTAATATTGGGTAATTTGTCCACTAGGTGACTTCATAATTGAATTGAGCTACTCATAAGGGAGATGACCAAAAAAATGACCCTATGCTATATTAGGGTTAGAACTAGTATTATTTTGATAGGAAAATTTAGCCATGTTGTTGGGGAGTGTGCTAGATTTAATTTTAAGGTTATTTAGTGTTTAATTTGTATTTTTGAAGCATTTTCCTTTGCTGGAATTTTTCTAGAATTTTCAAATTTTTTTGCTGTAATTTTTTGTTTTCTAGTGTATTTTGTGTGTATTTTGTGTTTGGTTTAGTATATCTTTGTGTGTTTAGTTGTTAGAATTTAATTCTAAGAATTTTCCATAATTTTTACCATTCGTTTTGATCTTTTGTTGAGTTACTTTGTTGCTGAAAGTTGCTGGAAGTGCTGTATAGCTTTGGTGTCTTTGATTGTTTTAGACTTGTTTGCGTGTTTAGGTTGCATTTGCTTTGGTAATCTTCAGCTTAGTGTTAATTCTTTTTGTTGTTTACTGATTTTAATGTTCTTGTGTCAAAAATTTTTGAAAAAAAAGGTTGCATTTTAGTTTGTAAAGAGTAGCGCTAGAGATCACCTTGTTTCCAGCTTTTCTGCCTTGTTTTCTTAAATTCATTGGAAACAACTTGGGAGGACTTTTTTCTTAAAATTTTATTCATTGGAAAGCTAAACATTTTAGATTCAATTCAAAACAATTTTGGTGAATTTTGGATATGGGAATTGAGTTTTGCACATATTATAAGCCAATAAGGTCTAGGAAACCTTTATAGAGGATTCCAAAATGCTAAGGTGAATTTCTGTAAGCATATTTTCCAGACTATGTGTCCAGCTAACCAGATTTTTTACACCAATTTTTCCTCTTTATCTTAGCTCTATCTTCTATGTTTGAAATTTTCATTAATTTTGTCTTTAACATTTTTGAAAGAGTGTTGGAATTTCTTAGCATCATTTGGACGAAATTATGTTTCTCCAAAACTATTGAACATTTTGTGTGTTTTTTTGGGAGCAATTGAGAAGGAGTTCTGGGCTAAAATTCTTATATCCTTATTCTCTATATCTTATCTATATTCCATAAATTTTTCCAGAGATTTGGACTTATGTATTTTCTTCTACAAAATTCACAATCTCACTGACTCCAGAGAGCAAATTACAAGATTTCCAAAATGTGAATTTCTAACTCTCTCTCTATTCATTTTATGTTATTTTTTTGTTTGTTTGCATTTAGGTTTAGCTATTGTGTTGTTCTTACATAACTTGAGCTTAGTTTGTGCATGACCTATAGGAAACATCATTTGTGGAGTTAGATCCTAAAATTGAAAAGACATTTTGGAAATTAAAGAGGTCTCAACCTCAACTTAATTCTCATTTAATGTGTAATTCTATAATGGAGGGTAGACTAGGTCATGAGCACTTGCATGGGCATGAAGGTCATAAGAATGGCAATGGACATGAAAAATGAGCATTTGCATGGTGATGGTCATGTGAACAATGAGTTTGTAGAGTTGCATAATCCAAGTGAAGAGAAAAGTATTAGAAAATTAACACAACCTAATTAGCATGACAATTCATATTGCTTGTATGTTCCTTCTATTGAAAATTATGCCCTAGAGCCAATCATTGTACTATGCACATTATTAATCAATGAATTTATCTTTTGTTATTATATCAATTGCATTTTTACTATGGTAACTGTATCCTTAGACCAACTATAGTGATTGTTTTAAATATCCCTGATCGGGGTCATCTATAAGGGATCATAGATGAAACAAGACTAGTATGACTTTGATTAATTATAAAGATACAAATTAAAGTCATAGGCACTTGAAAGAGTATAAGGTGCTGGACTAACCCTCTATGAGAAAGTTGCATGGTACAAGTCATAAGCTTATCTCATATGTAACTATATTACTAAGCCCTTTGACCTGAGATCATCATGGATTCCTACATGATGACCATTGAACTTTGACCTAGTCAAAAGTCACCTTTGACTGGGTGATCATAAAGGCTATGATTAAGGTTAATGATATTCATGCAGAGGAATATGAGCGCTTAAGATGGAATTTATCCCTCACATTAAGGATGAAATCAAGAAAGAAAAAGAGCTTGTAAAGAGGATACCATTTCCATGAGTTCTTCAAAGGTTGTATCTCTCCATCTTTCACACTGTTCTTAATTGATTACTATAATACACTATTTGCACAATTCTAAGTTTGTTTGTTGTATTTGTGCCATGCTTTGTGTGTG